ACCCTTCCTTCACCTCCACATCAGTTCCCTTACGTATATATATTTTAAAGAAATCCAAGTCTTACTTTCAAAGCACACACTTAGTCTCAACTAGGGAATCAACAGAAGCAGAAGCGATTTTTTTCCCCCTTCTTGACATCTGGCTTGCGATTGGCTGGAAGGGGGTCAGCTGACTTTGTCATTTTGTCTGTCCTGGATTGGAGCCGTCCCTATAACCATCTAGTTCCGAGTACAAACTGGAGACAGAAATAAATATTAAAGAAATCATAGCCCGACCAGGTAAAGGCAAAGGGATGAATTCCTACTTCACTAACCCTTCCTTATCCTGCCACCTCGCCGGGGGCCAGGACGTCCTCCCCAACGTCGCCCTCAATTCCACCGCCTATGATCCAGTGAGGCATTTCTCGACCTATGGAGCGGCTGTTGCCCAGAACCGGATCTACTCGACTCCCTTTTATTCGCCACAGGAGAATGTCGTGTTCAGTTCCAGCCGGGGGCCGTATGACTATGGATCTAATTCCTTTTACCAGGAGAAAGACATGCTCTCAAACTGCAGACAAAACACCTTAGGACATAACACACAGACCTCAATCGCTCAGGATTTTAGTTCTGAGCAGGGCAGGACTGCGCCCCAGGACCAGAAAGCCAGTATCCAGATTTACCCCTGGATGCAGCGAATGAATTCGCACAGTGGTGAGTTTTACAGCTCCGAGATATAAATTAAATAAACTGAACTGGCTTTATGACCGGCTTCCCTAGAAGAACGGGCGGAGAGAGTTTTTTATGGCCCCATAAAAACAATCACGCTCGTCTCCTCGCCGACGCGGAGACAGGGCCCCCTCTTCTGCCCCCTCTACTCACCTCCCGCTTGCTGGAAGGGGCCTGGCCCCCTTGGCCCCTGACGCATTGGAGGGTTCCAAGGCGAGCTGAGGGGGCAGGAACAGGGCAGGGGACGAGGGGAGGAGGCAGGGGGTGGGGGAACCCCCAAAGTCCAGTCAGTCTGAGCAGAAGGGAGGAGGAGAGGAGAGGGCAGAAAAGTGGGGGAGAAGTTTCCAAAGAGCTAGGGTGCTTGGGGAGGTGGGGGAGTCGAATCCTTGAGAAATAGGGCCCTCATCCCCAGTGTTTGGGATTTTTCAAAAACCAGCTTTTAGATTTACAGCTTTCTGCCTGGTTCTTGCACCCCTCCATTCTTTGGGACTCACACCTACCAACCTCTGGGGGAAGCTGAATGAAGTTGAGATCCTGGCTGCACCCCCAGTGGGGGTGGGGCAAGGCAAACAGGGGAAGGCTGGAGCCCAAAGGGGGCCTGAGCTGCTGGTCAAGTTGGGAGGGTCAGGACTTGGCTAGGCTAAATCGTCTGCGGAGGAAGCCTTGCTGGCTGATTTTAGTGTGTTTTGTGCCCGGATCTCTAGGGGTCGGCTATGGAGCGGACCGGAGGCGCGGTCGCCAGATCTACTCGCGGTACCAGACCCTGGAACTGGAGAAGGAATTTCACTTCAATCGCTACCTAACGCGGCGCCGGCGCATCGAGATCGCCAACGCGCTCTGCCTGACCGAGCGACAGATCAAAATCTGGTTCCAGAACCGCCGGATGAAGTGGAAAAAGGAATCTAATCTTACGTCCACGCTCTCAGGGGGCGGCGGAGGGGCCGCGGCCGACAGCCTGGGCGGAAAAGAGGAAAAGCGGGAAGAGACAGAAGAGGAGAAGCAGAAAGAGTGACTTGGACTGTCCCTGCCACCCTTCTCTCTCCTTCTCCCTCGCTCTCCCAGCTCCCTCCTAATCACACACTCTGTATTTATCACTGGCACAATTGCTGTGTTTTGACTCCCTAAGACAAAATTAGGGAGTCAGATATGGACCTAAAAGTCAACTCTGGATCCCCTCCCTCACTGCACAAACTCTCTCATCACGCGCCTCCTCCTCCTCCTCCTCCTCCTTGCTCCCTGCTAGCTCCTTCTCGGCTTGTCTGCAGGCCCCTTCCCCCCGCCCAGGCCTTGGGGGCTCTGTCCCTGAACCTCGCATCAGACTCCACTGTTCTTCCTCCATATGAGGACTTGGCCTCCCACCCCCTAGGTGCCCCCCCACCTCCGCGCAGAGAGCCGGCTCCGGGCCCGGGGCCTCTGCTCGGGGCCTTAGGGCCCGGCCTGGCCGCGGGGGAGGGCAGGAGGCCCAGGGAGGGCGCGTTGTGGCCCCACAGCCACCCCCAGGGCCTCCCCGCAGCCCCTGCCCGGCCCCTCTGCCCCAGCAAATGCCCAGCCCAGGCGAATTGTGTTTAAAGAATCCTGGGGGTCATTATGGCATATTACAAACTGTGACCGTTTCTGTGTGAATATTTTTAGCTGTATTTGTGGTCTCTGTATTTATATTTATGTTTAGCACCGTCCGTGTTCCAATCCCATCTTAAAAGGAAAAAAAAAGAGAGGGAAAATTACAAAAAGAGAGAAAAAAGTGAATGACGTTTGTTTAGCCAGTAGGAGAAAAAATAAATTGAAAAAAAAAATCCCCTCGTGTTACCCTCCTGTACAAATCCGACCTCTGGATCCGTTCTCGAGTATTTAATAAAACTGATATTATTTTTAAAAGTTTATATCAGGATTTCTGTTAATTCGCTCTCCCGCCGGCCTCGGGGTGAAAGTTGGAACAGGCTCCTAGCGCTCCGCGTCCGCGCGCAGCCTGCAAGCCCCCAGCCTCTTCGCTCGCCTTTCCCGGAGCCGGGCGCCAGCCTTGGCCTCCCCCTCTGGTGATCGCCCGTGGGGGGGGGGGAGGCTGGGAGTCCTCTCTGGGCTCCTTACTCAGAGCGACACACTCACCCCGCAAAAAAACGCCGAATGGGATTTCGATGGGGTAAGGGGTAAGGGGAGCCGGGGTTAGTCGAATTGGTCTCCAGCCCCACGCAGGCCTTTCTTCCTGCCTGTGGCAGTCTGGGGTCCGCCTTCTGAACCCCGAGCCCCCAGTTGCCAGAAAAAGCAGCATGATCCAGGGCTCCAGGGCATCCCCCCCCCTCCGCCCACTCTCAGAGTGAGGAGGGGGCGCCCTGTGAGCCACCCCGCTGCCCGCGCCAGGCGACAGTTTCGAAACGTGGCGGAGGCGGAGAGCCGAGGGAAAAGAAGACTTGGGATTTGAGCCGTCCGCCAGGGATTGAGCGATTCAAGGACATCTCAAAAAAGAAAACCTGGAAACTGAGCTCTGGCCTGCTCTGGGACGACTGACGCAGCTGGGACAAAATTCCTTCTTCCTTACAGCCCCAGCCCCAGTCTGATTCCTCACTCTTTTCCCCTCGCACTCCGCGGGTGAGGAGCGTAGCCAGGCCTTAACCTTTCCCCAGCCCAGGCCTTCTCTCCCTAAGCCCAGACAGAGAAACCTGAGTGGACCTAGGGGGTGAGGTAGTGAGGGGGTCTCCTGGAGGGAAAAAAATCTGCCAGAGTTTTCCAGACCTTCCTGATCTCCGCCAGCGCCCTCTCCAGCGCCTCCGCTTGCGCGGGGGGGGCGGGGGGGGCGGGGGGGGCTTCTCCTGGCATGGGCGGAGATTTCCTGGGGAGAGGCAGGCAGGAAAGAATAAGACTTGGGGCTTGTGGAGGGGGTCGGAAGGGGCGGGAAAGCTGCAGAGCCCCCTGGCCACAGGCTGTTAAGGTTGCCCAGGCTTCTGCTCTACCCACCCCCTTCACCCCACCCCCAGTCGTATTCTTTCAGTTCAGAAATTGCTCTCCTGTGGACCTTGTGGATCCAAGTCCCTGGAGGAACTGGTCCAGAGGCCTTTCCCCCAGAGGGCACAAAATAGGCCTTGTCCTCTGCCCTGCTCATATAATATTTGTGGAGGTTTGAATCTGGCTTCTCCATGCCCTCAATTAACATCTATTTTCTATCCAAAATGTCTGACATAGGTGGTACCATATGAGGGTCATATATAGGGATGCAGAGTAGTCTTCCAGGCCATTGTGTCTGGTTCTACACACTCTCTCTCTCTCTCTCTCTCTCTCTCTCTCTCTCATACACACACACACACACACACACACACACACACACACACACATTGAAAATATCCTTGTTGCCACTCTGGGGTCTCTGGCATGGTGAGGAGGTTTACTAAGCTACCCTGGCTCCTCACCTGTAGGCTCCTCCCAGAGTCCCCAGTACTCTCAGTCTCATGACCTCCCCACTCCCATCTAGTTCTGTCCACCCAGGATCCCTTCTCCTGGGCATCCTGTCTACCTCTCCAGAGACTTGGTTCACTTTCCCCTGCTGAAAGGCACCTTCTCAGCAATAGCAGCGCCTTGGGACATCCAAGGAGAGAGAACTCCAACCTGAAATCAGCTTCTGTGAAATCCAACCTGGGCAGCGCCCATCCCCCCCTCTCCCACCCCCAACCTAAGTCCCCTTTTCTCAGCCATTTTTTTGAAAATTGGAAGGCTCTGGGGGTAAAGAAGATGGGGTCTATCCATTACCAAAAAAACTCTCAGTGTATCATAAATCTGCTTCATCTTTCCCTAAAATTAAACACAATTTAAAAGGCTATTTCAGGGGTTTGTTGCAGCAACAGCCAGCTTCTGCTCTACTGGGTAAAGAAAATCCAGCGGTGTGGAAGGCGAGCCGGCGCGCCAGGATGCAATTTCTCCAAGTAGGCACCAGGTGTCGCTGTGGGCTCGTTGTCCCGGCTACCCCCAATTCCAAGAACCATTTTTTTTCCTCCCCCTTCTCTCTCTTTCCCCCTCTCGCTCCCTCTCCCCCTTGGTTAGGCTTTGCCAACATATCAAGATGCGTTTCGCCGGCTTCCATCACTAACCTCCCGGAGGTCATCAAGCCAAATTTATGAGTGGCCGCTGGAGTCACGTGACTCTATTTAAGGCTCCCTTATTTGGGAAGAGCGCATAGGATAAAGAAAGAGATATCTCCACCTATAAATTGTGCACTTTGGAGAACAAAAAAACCCCTCAACTTCAAAGAGTCACAAATCACCCTTAATCAAAAAGGGTGCAGAAATTTTTTTTGGGCCCTCCCCGCCATGAGCTCCTACGTAGCCAATTCATTCTATAAGCAGAGCCCCAATATCCCTGCCTATAACATGCAAACTTGTGGGAACTATGGATCGGCCTCAGAGGTGCAGGCATCCAGGTACTGCTACGGCGGATTGGACTTAAGCATCACTTTCCCACCGCCTGCGCCTTCCAACTCTCTCCACGGGGTAGACATGGCTGCCAACCCCCGGGCTCACCCCGACCGCCCCGCCTGCAGCGCCGCGGCCGCTCCGGGACACGCTCTGGGCAGAGACGAAGCGGCTCCTCTGAACCCCGGGATGTACAGTCAGAAGGCGGCTCGCCCAGCGCTGGAGGAGCGAGCTAAGAGCAGTGGGGAGATCAAAGAGGAGCAGGCGCAGACAGGGCAGTCTGCCGGACTGAGCCAGCCACCGGCCCCGCCACAGATTTACCCGTGGATGACCAAACTGCACATGAGCCACGGTAAACTTTAGGACTTCATTTTGCGCGCTCGGGTCCGCCTGGGTTTTATAGGCCATGCGGGGCAAATAAAGAAAAAAAACCTGCGGCCATAAATTTTACGATCCAGGCATCAATGGCTCGTAAAACTGTCCACTAAAAGGCTTAGAGGCTGTGTGCGCCCAAATTTACGACGACATAATTGGATCATAGGAACAAAACGTGTATAAAAGGCAATATTCAATTTTTGGGGGAGAGGGAGGGAGTTAAAAAAATAGAGGGATCTGAAGGGTGAGGAGCGCGGGGCTCCAGAGCGGGGATCCCCCCGCGGCTCCCTCCCTCCCCCTATGGAGCCGGCTCGGCCTGCGCTCGCCGCTCCGGAGGATTCCAGCGACTCGGGAGGGGCGGGAGGGGGGCCCCCGGTGCTCGGATCTCGAGAGTGCTTATTGTTCGGTCCGAGCCTGGGTCTCCCTCTCGCCCCGTCCCACAGCCCCTCCGGTTGCAGAGTGACGGCTGCGGCGGAAAGTTTCCTGCCTGGGCGGAGGCGCCTCTCCCGGGGCTAGGCTGGGCCGGGCCCGCCTGCGGCCCGCAGGGCCTGTCTCGCCCTGCTCGTCTCCGGTCCCTCCGGCCGAGGGTCGCGGCCCGGGGCTCGGGTGGGGACGCTAAGGCAATGCAAGCTATTCACCCCTTCCTGGCTTGGGGGCTGTTTATGTTCCAGAGACAGACGGCAAGCGGTCCCGAACCAGTTACACGCGCTACCAGACTCTGGAACTAGAAAAAGAATTCCACTTTAACCGCTACCTCACTCGCCGCAGGCGCATAGAGATCGCCAACAACTTGTGTCTCAACGAGAGACAGATCAAGATCTGGTTCCAGAACCGCAGGATGAAGTGGAAGAAAGATTCCAAAATGAAAAGCAAAGAGGCTCTTTAGAGGCAGCCCGGCAGGGACCCGCCAGCAGTACCCCGAGCCCGTTTCGCTCCCTTCTCCTTTCCTTTTCGGTTTTCCTCTCTCTATATTTTGGGGCAAGGACGGTGGCTGGAGCACCGGCGCCCCGGGCCTCATAGACAAAAGCTCTTTCCCTTGGCATTCCACATCCCCACCGACCCCAGGCTCCCACCGGGCTGCCCGGCTGTCCTGACTCCTCTCAGTTCTGCTCAGCCCTGGGGCCCCAGGACGAGCATGGGTTCCCAGGGCTGTGGCTTAAGGGCTGGCACTGACTATACCCGGCCTGGGCTGCCTCTCAGGCTTCCAGCCCCAGCCTGACCCGCCGGAGTTAAGGTGGGCCCTGCGGTTGCCGCAGGCCAGGCGCCCCAACCCTCCAGCTTCGCCCTCTCCTTTGTTCCCGGTTTAGGCTAGCCAGACTGCCGCGGGCTGGCGAGAGAGAGTGGTTATGCCTGGGGGAGTCTGGCGCCAGACTCACCAGACTCGGGGTGCTTTCTTGTAGCGACTAAATTCAAGTTGTTCATTTTTAATGATTTGCATAATAAAAAGGGGAGATGACTGAAGCCCACCTAGGGCCCCTTTGGTTGCCCTATGCTCTCCAAACCTTCTCCCCCAACCCCAAAGCCGGGAAACCTCTCCCGCCTGCGCCCTCTGCATGCCCTCTCAGGCCCCGGCCTCAGACCGCTAGCTAGCTCAACTGTTGCGGTTTCCTGCCACAGGACCCCCACGAGCCATCCTAGAGGCTCCTGGCTGCCAGTAGTCCCTGCCATGACTTTCTGTGCCCTCCTGTCCCATCGCTGTTGTACGACTATTTATTGATTCCAGGTCTTTCCTGAAACTATATTTTGTCATATCAAATAAAGACAATGAGAGAACAGTACTAAAGGTGCAGCGGCTCCTCTGTTTGGGGCATGTATTGGGCAAAAGTGTCTAAATGGATTGTGAGGTGTAGGGGAGGTCCACAGCCTTTTAAGCCAATCTTTTAAAGGAATTTTTAGGAGCTTCTTGGGGTATCGGGTCAAGGGAGGTGAAACTGAGCTCCTGCCCTGATCCCTGGCTCCAAGAAGAGCCTCTGGAGGTGGGGGAGGACACCCAGGCTCCTGCACTGGCCTGTCCCATGCTCTGGTTGTCCAAGGCACTCCATTCGCACTTTGGCTGGGTGGATCTGAGGCCTCTAGACCGACAGCGGCCCTCACTGCATGCCAGAAGGAATCTGCAGGGACTGTTGGCTCCGCGATACTCAGACTCAGACCCTCTGGGCCTCTGAAGTTCTCTCTCAGGGCTAAGTGGTCCCTGAGGGGTCTTGATGGTCAATAGAGAGAGGGCTGAACCCTCAGCCTAGGGTCCCATTTGGTCTCAGAAGAATCCTCAGAAAGTTGGTGCTGCTTGGTAAATGGTGCTAGGGAAGTGGAGGAGGTGTGTCTCAGCTTTCTCAGATAGTGGCAGAGGGTGAGTAGGGAGGGCCATCTTCAGGGTGTACCTGCCTAGCAGGAATCTTGAGGCTGCCCCCCACCTTCTAGGGCCTAGGGCCCTGCAGGACAACTAGCTGGGAAAGGAACTACATGGACCAGTTCCTGGGCTGCATCTTTCACCATCATTTATCTCAGTCTCTGGGATTTTGTGTCGGGGGAAGGTGGGTGAAAGGGAAGGGGAAAACCATTCAGGTGGTGCCTGAGGCTGACTTAGGCCCATGCTCTACTCTGCTCCAGGATCTTGGAATGGGATGGGGGAGGAAGTCCTTTATAGGAGAAACAAATGTGGGAAGGGTCCATAAAACTTTACTGCATTTCCTCTCCCACCTCCCACAACAGGGTGATTTCCTGGAGCCAAGCCTAGGCCCCCCACACTGGGGAGGGTGCAGGAAGGGGAGGTTCAGAAGCTGGGCTAGAAGGCTGCTCCAGCAGCCAAGAGAGAAAGGGAGCAGAGAAGCTCTGGGGAGGGGTAAGGGGAATATTTATGATTATTAATGCTGATGCTCCGTGGATTTATTATAAGGACTGACTTCTCTGCATACTATTGCCTAAGCCACCTGTCATTTTTTAAAAGACCCAAGAGCCTTTCCTCACCCCATGCTAGCACGTAGGAGGTCTCACTAAATGTTTATTGAACTGCACCCATTGCTACACACTTCTCCACACTGCACTCACTCAGAACAGATAGGGGCTCCCAAAATGTCTCTCCTCCACTAGCACACAGCAGACAGCACAGCACCAACTCATCTCTCTCCCTCTCTCTCTCCCTCCCTCAAATAAAATGTGTAATTTTCTTTAGGGAGTTATTTTAATTTTTTCTCCATGCTGAGTAAAACTATTGGGCGGGCGGTGAAGCGTGGAGAAGCACTGGCGTCTCCAGTGGGTAACAGTTAACTAAGAAAGAGGCCCTGGCGCCCACCGTCACCTGCTTCAGCCTCTCTGGCTGCCTAGGCCCTGCACTTCCTCCCCAGGAGACGCACTGCCCCTGGGGGGGAAACCGAGGGCTTTGCCAGTGGTGGGGGAAATGTTTCGCAGCCCCACTGTGCAGGGGGTACCAGCCGGTACACTGACTGCCTCCTTCCCGCAGGGTGTGAACCGCTCTTTCGCTGGAGAAACTGGAGGACTGGCTTAAGTTGGGCAGGTTTAGGTGGATGCAGGCAGCCATGCCTGCCTGTTTCCCCACTCCTGTCACAGTCTGCAGGTCTGTGCCCAGGCCCCAGCATCTGATTCAGCAGCATGAGTGATCACAACCCTGCACTGGGAGTGGGTACAGCCCAGACCCTTGCTTTCTCCCTGAGCATAGGCTTCTACTGTGGAGTCTGAGGGGGTTTCCCCACCAGCCAGCAACAATGCTAAACCCTGTAACAATCACCAAGTACGAGGGTTTAGCATTACTCTGGGGGAGTTAGTGGAGGGGCTTCTGGGTCCCAAACAGAGACCGTGAAGCCTACCTCTTTACTTTGCCCTGAAACCAACCCCCTCAGGCAGCAAGAAAGAAGGGGAAGAAGCATGACTTACCTTCCCGGGGGAGTGGGAAGAGGGGGACACGGCCCACTCTGAACAATTAGAGGAGAGAGGAGGAAAAAAAAATAGGAGGAAAAAAAATATCAACATGACCTCGAAGGCGACAGGTCCTTATGGAAATAAGTAAGTAAATAAATAAGGATCCACCCTCACCCCATCCCCACCCTGCAGGGGTGGGGGTGGGGCACAGGAGCAGCACAAGGGCTTTTTAGTGTAACTGAGCATTAGAGAAATACCCATGGCTTCTATGTGAATTTAGGAGTTTGAAACTTTTGGAGGTTATTTATGTGAATGGCCCGAAGGCAAGCCCGTGAGTGGCTCTTGGGGGACCACGTGATGTCATTAAACCAAGTTTTATGGTGTAGGGAGAGCTGACAAACCCACAATATATTTACATCATATATAATCTTAACTGTCCAGCCACGCAGCTGCTGGTGAGGTTTAATGCTAGGACAGAGGGCCTGGCAGTTAGAGGGGATTACGGCGCTGGGGATGATGGTGAGAGAGGTTACATCTTCGAAATGAATCCCAGGCGATCGCTGTAAGTTAATTTTCTCTCTCTGACCCTTTCTCCCGTTTACCTAATCTTTCCCCTTCGTGAGAGAAGGCAGTTCCTACTCATTAAGAGAAGGAGAAGAAGGCCTCCCCCGGCATCGTCAGGCTGGGGTGGGAGAAGAGAAGAAGCCGCTGGAAGGTAGGAGGATGGGGGAGCTTGTTTCTCCAGCCCAGAGCTTTCCTTCCTGCCCCGCATTCCCTCCAGCTGTGAGTCAACTGAGGTTAAGAGAGGCCTAGGTTCTCTAGAGCTTTGCCAGGTCTCCCTGACCCCCTCTCCCTCCTCAATTGGGAAGAAAGACAGCGGCAGACACATGGGTGTTTGGTGTTTGTAGGAGTGTGTAGCTCTAGGCACAAATGCAAGATGCCTAGGGGTTCCCTGGTCCAGGGAAGGGCCAGTTCCACCCTTGGCCAGTCACCCAGAGTCCAAACAGTGTGGGCAGCTGGGAAAGGAGACAGGGGAAGTAGGGATTTGGGACTTCCAAGCCCAAAGGCTGCCAGCTGAAATGGAAGAAGCATCTTAAAGGTGGCCAGTTGAACCCCAGGGGGCCCAACTCATCCTTTCCTTCCTTACTACCAGACCTGGGTGGACAGCTGTCTCAACCTTACTGGTCTGGGGTTCTAGTCTGTCTGGAGCAGGTGTGCCTCTAACTGTTGGGGTCTTTCCTGGCATCCCTAGTCCTTGCCTAAGGCAAATCTAGGCCCAGGAGGCCTGGAAGTTACTGCTGTGAGTAGAGTGTAAGCAGGTGAGGGAATGGAGGCAACTGTCTTTATTAGGCTGGCCAGGAAAGCCCTCCAGCCCTGAGGAGAGAGTGGGTTCTGGGGATGGAACAATGGTGGTGGGGGGGCAATAAAGGCATGGCGCCCTGGGGCCAGTCTCAGCCTTGGGCTCCCTTCAGGTTTCTAGGAAGGAGCAGCACAGGTGCAGACCTGGAAGGCACATGTCCTCCACACCCATGAGTGCGGTACCCATCCTAGTGCCTCACCTGTAGCTAAGTAAGAAAAGCAACAATGTGTGAACTCAGGCTCCTTGAAGGGGCCCACTGGAATCGCTATGGATTTCGAAGCAGGAAGCAGGGTGGAGGCTGGTCCCATGGAGGGCAACTCAGGGAGGAGTGGGGCAGAAGGGCCCAGCCAGGTCTGTGCCTTCCCAAAGTAGGGGGAAGTCTTTTGAAGTGCAAGGGAATCTGGGCATCTGCTTTGCGGAGAGATGCATTTAGGACCGGGGAGAGGATGCTGTTAGCCGGTGCCTCTGCTGCCCAACAGACTGAGGAAGAAGTAGGGATCAAGCACAAACAGAGAGCCCAGGCAGACTCTGGGAGGGTGGAAGGAGACAGAGACCCAAAGACACCGGCGTCTGAGCTGGAGCCCCTGACCTAGTAGTCTGCCGCCTGGGTGAAGAGCGCAGCGCCTGACTGGAGAACTCTTCCTGCGCCTTTCCTCTCTGCCTCAGTAACTTGAAAAGAATCCGCCTCCCTACCCTCCTCCCCACTCCTTTATCCCCAGGGAAGCGTTAGGATCCCAGAGGATTCTTCTTAGCAGGCCATTTGGAAAGTTACCTCTCAGGTTTTCCTTTCCTCATTACCAGCCCTCCTGGACTCTCCCCTCTCCACCAGTCTGTGCTTTTGAAGATTTCTGAAAACTTTCCATCCATGCAGTAGGGAAATGGGAATTGCCATTGTTCTACAACTCTTCCCTCTTTCTGGCCTCCCCAGGGCTTTTAGGTAGTGAGTCTAACAGTCTTTAACCAGGAATTTAGTTGGGGCAAAGACCCATACCTAGGCAAGACTCTCAGCCTCCCCTTCCCCCCCCCCCCACACCAACTCCTGGGCAATTCTCAGTCCCATTCCCTTTCTCTGGGGTGTACAGCGATATGTGCGTGTTTTTCTGATTTACAGATTTACAGAGCATCTTTGGGGGTCTATACTTCTGTGTCCCCTTTTCTGTTTCTTAGGCTCAAAAATATCACCCTCTCTTCCCGACCCAGTATGGATTGTCCCTCCTCTCAAATATTTATCTCAGCCATTTTTTTTTCTGTTTTGTAGGACAAATACAAATGGAAGTAGGATGAATACAAACGGGGCCTGAGATTCTTGGTTTTCCCACCCTCTCTCCCCGCTCACATTAAAGGGGGGGCACTTCTGGAGAGGGGGGATGAGCAGTCAATCAGGTGCCCAAGTGCTCCAGCCAACCCGGAAAGCTTTAAATTTTGTTCCTAGGTCTTTAACCCTACAAGGGTCAAGCAACCAATCAGAAATGCTCTAAGCAGGATCACATGGTCCCCCCCAACCAATCAGCCCCAAAGTACTTG